GCTTTTTCCTGGTATTTCACCATTGCAAAAGTATACTTTGCAATGCATGATTAAGCTTTGAACAGTCCATCTTCTGGCAGGTGGAACTGAAGGCATCAGGAGTAACCAAGGGTTGTGTGACCTGTCTAAAATCTAAATATATCTCCAGTATATAATGTTATCTAAGTACATACAAATATTCAGACACTTAAGATGCTGCCATCCAGGATTTGGCATGAAGAGGCTGGACTGAAACTAAATTTTAGCCTTGTGTTTTTATAAAGGAGAAAAGGAGACAAAACTGGAAGATCTAAATTAAACCAGAAGCTTTGTTAAAATGGATCTGCTCTTTTCTGAGAATCAGTGAATTACACAGGTACATCATTATATCTATGACACCCGCAGCATATTTGTGATATGAAAGCCCTATCTGCTAGTTGCAACATTAAGAAAGCTTGAGCATTTCCTTTCTTTCAAATGCTTCCCAAAACCCACTTCTTTTGGGGCTCTTCTATGCACATGCAGTGTTAAACCACGCAACTCCGTAACATTACTGTGTCCTTCTCTCCCTCTCTCTTGTCAATATGTATCGTTCTACAAGTTTAGGCTTTGCTCTTGCAGTGGGCTCTGTAGGACAGTGAGACCATCTACATCATCCACTCTTGTAGAATGGTATAAATAAATAATACACTTTCTATCTTCTGTTTCTTCATCCTTCTAGTAATAACTCGTCCAATCTTGCTTTTGTAAAAGTGTGTATGTGTTTCAGTAAGATTTTTTTTTCATCTCTGACAAATATCTTACCAGAGTGAGTTTGTGACCTTAAGTTTCAAATGTGGCAGGGAAGTTTAGGTGGTTTGTTCTGTTCCCCACCCTCCTAACAATACCTCTGACAAACCATCATTTTCAGAGCGTAATGGTTCTTATTCACCTTGGTGAGTCACATCAGTGATCCATAGGATTCCCAGTTGCTGCTCATATGTGGAAGTGGCTTTTATGGGAATCTTTTTTCTTTCATTGACTTGTTGCTTATATCAGTTTATTCCTCCAGGTTTTTCTTAACTTGAAGAGAGCAGGTATTTTCCTGTTTTCTTTGGGTCTCAGAATTCCAAACAAAAAATTCTATTAAAGGATACTGTTGCCAGTGTTGGCAGTTTAACCAGTACATGTCATTAGCATGTAAGAACCTGAAAGACTGTATTGGGCAGACTAACCAGTGACATAAACCACCTTGTTCAAGCTGAAAGTGTCAAAGCTAAATAATGAGCTGTGTGGATCACGGGAAGTGCATTTTCAAGCTTTATCTGTCTAGTAGACTGACAGTGACTTTCAACCCAAGAGCATCATAAGCCTATGAAAGCCTGCCAAAATACGGTGTACTTCATGTTCCCTGTCCCCAGACTGCAGCAGCAAGTTAATGGAGACCTGGGTCATCAGATTTTGAAAAGGGGCAGATTTGCTTTGAAAAGTGTAGGAATCTGTGGAAGTGGCTAACATTGTGAAAGTCCAATTTTGACAAGATCTTTGATTTTACTTTCCATAACACCTATGTAATCTTGAAACACAATAACACCTGCTGTACTCTATTGCATACAACTGTTCAGCAGGAAGGAATAACTTTCAAAAGAAAGTATTCCATTTTGTCTCTTAAAGATGCAGGTAGCTTTCTCTTTTCCCTTTTGTCTTAATTTTTCCTGGTAAGATGGCATACATTATTTAGTTGTATCCTCATTTCTCAGGTCAAACCAAGCTGTAGCCAGCATAAAAATCAGAGCAAGTAGACTATGGGGAAAAAATCTAATGTCTATGTATAGGGCAAGTATAGAAGGTATCTGTGTATACAGTGTATTAATAAAAATATACCTAGTATATCACTTTTCATTCACCAGATCATGATGCTGGTCTGAATCCAGCACAATACAAGACATTTTAAGGGCCATGATAACCTGACTTGATACTCCTTAGGTTGTATTTAATGAAGACCAGTGTAATTACTGCCTTTCTTACGTAGCTCGAAATGTAGCGGCTTGTGCCAGTGGAAGTTCCTTTGGATCAAATTTGCATCTATCTGGTAGTTCTTTTTATGCTTGTTGGGGTGGTTGCTGTGACCAGCTGGGATGACTAGTGGACAAGCGTCATTCCAGCAGAGCATATCTGACCCCTTGTTTCCTCCTGTGGAGAGATGTGATATAATTGGTGCAGTTTATCTGATGTCCAAGGAATGACTCATACTGGAGAAATCTTCTGATATGATTAAATAATTGCATAATTTATTAAATAAATACCCCTTTTGCTTTAAACCTGGGAAAATGCAAGCTGATATGTTTTATCAGCTCTACTCAATGTATATCACTGTCACAAACCTCCCACTGTCAGTACTGATGTGTATTGTATTGCTTCCACCACACCTCTTTTACCACTTACAATATTGCCATTATAATTAAAATAATTCAAAACTAGGGCTCATTTTGAAAATCCTTGTCATTCAGGTTTTGGTTTTGCAAACCAAAACCCACTGATTCCAATTTGTATTCCAGGATTTGTAGGCAATAACGATATACAATATAATCTGCATTCACTGTTAGGATTAGTAAATAATAAGTAGGAATCGGTCACTTTCAGAATGTCTCATTCTTCACCATCACAAAATCAATAAAAATAGGTCAAAAATGTGCTGTTCCTTTCTGGTTCATCTAATAGATGCTTGAACAGAATAACCTGCAGTGAGTCAGGCTTCTCTTGTTTGTAAAAACTGAAAACATATGATGCAACCCCAAAAAGCAATTTAATTCCACCCCAGTAGTATCAGATTTACCCCTGCAAGAGTTAGGGACAATTTTCTCATGCCTTAAAATGCCTGCCTTGCAAAGCACACACTGCTTGTTTCTTATGCTTTCACAAATTCTTAGGTCAAATTTCACAAATGCCCCTTCTAATTCAAGCTGTGAGTATAGCGTGGTTGGCTTCAAGCTTCCATTTCAGACTTCATGTTCTGTTTGCTTGCCAATAGCCCTCAAGTGACAAAATAACATCTGTAAGGAACACTAGAGCAGCTGGCCATGCTGGAACCCTCAGTTGTTAATGATTGCTGTAGCCAGGTTGAAGACTAACTGGGCCCAAAATGCAAAAAATATTGAACCATAGAAATACACCCTGAGACCTACTGGGCTTACAAGTTAACACATAGATTCTCACACACATCTCCAGTGAGCAGCTCAACTCTGAAACACTATGTGGTTTTGTATTTCATGGAGCTTGGCTACTAAGTGGTGGCTGTGTGCAGAGCCAGCACATATCCTTGTGTATCTCGGGCTCTACAAATGCAAAAACTAGCCAACGTCAAAGAGCTTCATGCAGAGTCAGCCTACATCTACTGGAGGTTCTGCAGGGCCAAATTTTCTCCATCATGCTACCTAACTTATCAGAGCACAGAGCCAGAGACAACCCAGTTCAATGTACATCCAATGTGATACAATGAGTGCAGAGACACTCCCAAAGCTCTGCTGGAGTTGGCTAGGTCTAGCAGAACCCAGGCAGGCTCTGTGCAAAATCATGGCACCACTGTTCTTTATTGTCCATGTAATCCAGGTTTTTCCAGAAACCACATGATCCTTGCTCCTTATCTCCCTGGCTATTGGAGAGTTACCTGCCTGCATGATATTTTTCACATTCTGTTTCCAAGTGAATGCCATTCTTACTTTGGATATTTAATGAGGAAAAAATAATGAAAACACTACCTCACTGTAACCATCTGAGTTAGTACTGTTGCTGAAACTGTGCAGCTGCCATTTTTATATGTTGGGGGTTTTTTTATGAGCTTTCCTCCATGATGAAAGTAAGATCATCTTCCTGACTAATCATTCTTGTCAAGACACTCTAGCCAAGCTTCTGCTTTCCTCTATTCATCTGCCTTTTGCCTATCACAGTGAACACAGGTTTCTTGTTTCCATCAATTGTAATTCACTTTGCCTATCTTGTGACATCAATTTGTGCAGCACAAGTGAGGTACGATACTCACTTTCCTAATTTTTTTCTTCTGTTCCCTGCTTACAGCCTTATTCATAGGGGAAATGCTCTGTCAGAATCCACAGGCCACTCTCTTTTCTTCCTCACAGATCATCCTGTAAAAGTTCCTTCTGCCTTGGTACCTGCAATGCACAGCCAGGCAACTAAAGACTAGAGAGCTAGCAAGTTGAGATGATTCATTACTGCTCAAAGTTATTTGTTATCTCAATCTCTTAACACCACTCTTTTGTTTGTTGCCTTTTGTATTTTGTCATTCTCCATTGTGAGCTGGGTGGGAAAGATATTGCTTTTGTTGGATAGCTGGAGCACCTTATTTGTTTGGAGACTCCAGGCACCAATATTAGATAAGTAATGTGTGATAAAGAAGGCTCTCTAGTGTTGCCTTATCATTTATGTTTGATTGTTGGGAGGGAGGAAAGAGGAGAGCTATCATCAATTATGGAGAGTGGCATAGCTTTTACCTTCCAAAGCAGAAAAAGGTGGAGAACACTTTTGTTTGTCTATCCATATAAAAATCATAATTAAGGATTTTGTACACGTACATAGGCATCCAAGAAAAAATGGAAGGATTTTCTTGTCATCGGGTTTTGCTTTCACATCCAGAGAGAACTCAAGAATGCTTAAGATGTTTGTCCCACATCTCATATAAAAAGGAGGTATTTTTGTCCTCATTGCAGGGGGAGAAAAAAGCAAAAAATTATTCTTGAGAATAAACTGTCAAAAGTTGTTGTTATGGAAAAATGAAACTTTTTCCCAAAGCAACTGCTTTGCTACCTTAACAGCAACAGTATTTGTTAGTATTAGTTATAGTTGGTTTGCTTTCTCTTGCATTATCCCACATGCACAAGATACCAATGGAAAACCTTCCTTAGGTCTTAATGTCATATAGCTTAATGACACAGTTCTATCCTGTTCTTTTTTATGTTTCATGTCCTTAGAATTAATAACTTTCACAGTTTAATGAGATTTAAGATTCCCTGTGCTTACTTCTGCAGGCAGCCTAGACAAACATGTAGAACTAGAGAAACTTGTGGCCAAGTTCCTTGGTGTGGAAGATGCTATGGTGTTTGGCATGGGCTTTGCAACTAACTCGATGAATATTCCAGCCCTTGTTGGGAAGGTGAGTACTTCCTTAAGAGGCAAATAGAATAATTGTTTATTAATTGTTTTAACAACTGTTGCAGTGTTCTGGGCATGCATTAAGTGAAAAGGCTTGATCAAGGAACAAAGCTTGGTATCAGGAATGCATGAGTCATAAGGCTGATGACCTTGTGACCTTAAATATGCTTCTTCATCATTTTTTCTAGCTCTGAGTGTTCCTATCACACATACCTAACATTTATTTAAGGATGACTGATATGGTTTTTTAGCTTCTCTTAACGAAGTTACTTCTCCCTAAAAAGTAAGCAAATGTTGCATCCCATGTCTCAGGTGTTGTAGGATGAAGTATTTGGGCTGCTTGCAGAGATATTGCCCAACTGCCTGTGGTGAAACATGATGATTAGGGTATTTTTTACAACACTTTCAGAAAAGAGAAAGCACAGTGTTTAGCATTCCTGATGAACAAATCTCCAGACAGTCCTGCAAAGAAAGCTGGCAGCAAATGCAAGTCTAAAGTTGTGACCATATGACAAAAGTTGGGTTCTTATTTGGTGTTGAAGGGACTTCATCTCCAATTTGGGGTACCTAACACAAAGGCATGAAAATCCATCATCTTGTTATGTCAGAAGTTGTGATTGACAAGCAGATACACTGTGCTGCTAGCTGGGAAAGTGGATAGCTCCTCTTTAGTTCATGCAAGTGTGAAACAGTGTGAAGTGAGTCATGAAAGTGTGAAACAGTATTTCCCTCTTGGTGGAGACAGAATGAATTCGCTGTGTGGTGTATGATCAAGATTTCTTCTGAAGCACTGGTGTAGAGGGGAAGTCACTTCTTCAGTCACTATTGAAGAAGAATCCAGCTTTTGCAAGAGATTTCTGAAATATATGTACACAAGGGTTGGTCAGGGAGAATTGCTTCAGCTGCGAAGAACATGAACTTCAATCTGCAATGGTGCTGGAGAAGTTGTCCAGCAATTTCAAAGGGAACAGATACAGAGAATTAATAAGGGTAAATTTATGAAATTGCAGACCTACATAACAGCATAAGATACCTGTCCCTTGCTTAGCTATAAAATAATTTTCCCTCACTTAGTTGTCCTCATGTGGAGATTCAGGTCTCTGTCAGAGGTGGGATATTTAGATATAAGTGGCACAAAGAAAGATATTACTATATGTGTTATATAGAATATAACTATAATAATTTAGTATATATTAATAATATATAGTATTGTAATATATTATATATATTTCAGCTATTATGTAGTTGCCCTATGTTGGGGAGACTTATTCGTAAATTTTCCTCTATAATTAAGCCCAGCAGCTACATTTTCGTGTCAGGACGCATATACTCTTAATGTTAGTTCTGCATTCTAGTATCTAGGCAGATTTGTGTGAGTATCTCTCAACCTAGGCATAATATGTGTTTGCAAAATAAGTATTTACCTAATGTTGTATAGCCTTTTGGGTAATGAAACCACAGCACAAGATGTGTAATAGAAAGCAGAGCTAAGTTAGGGTTCCAGCATGAATTTCAGCTGTGAATCCTGGCTCCTGTTAACATATAATATACAAAGTTATTTCTCCTGCATTTCTATTTTATTTTCTAAAAAGAAAGTTTTCAACTGAGATAATTAATGAAAAATATACTACAGGTGAACTGTATATGCATTTACCAGAGAAAGACTCTGCCTGTTGCCTAGGCTCCACTCACGTCTTAATGGAGGTGGGATTTATGAGGCATCGATCTGTCCTGATCTCATTTCTGCAGCCCAAAGTGATGATATCAGTCCAGCCTCAGTATTACTCCTCCTTACATTACTGTCATGCAGTCTTTATATATGGGTTGGTGACTGCATTTTCCCTGCAACACAAAGTAGACTGTAGACAGGTGATAGAGGAAGCAATGTCACTTGATTTTACTATAAAGCAGACAATCTCTACTAGGGTTATTCACTACTTTCCAGTTACAGGAAATACTTGACCCCTTTGCACCACCCGGGAATGCCTGAGAATCTGATCCCACAGTTTCTGCCTGCCTTTGCAGTGCATCCTGGCACCTTCAGAAAAGTGGCAGAAAATCCAGTTCGTGTTTACTACTTATGGCTTAATTGGTGCAATGCTATATCATTGACACACGTTTATGCTGACACACACATGCACACATGTCAACAGCCTCCCAATTCATGCAGATGCTTATTGTACTCCTTCTCCACAGGGCTGCCTCATTTTAAGTGATGAGTTGAACCACACTTCTCTCGTTCTTGGTGCGAGGCTTTCAGGTGCTACTATTAGAATCTTCAAGCATAATAGTGAGTATTGAAGTTGGAAATATTTAGAAACAGAGTTGTTCACACCTTAAAGTCAAGAATGTTTCCTTTCAATGCTTGCTTTGCTGTCAGTTGCCAGATAATACTTTTGTCCAGGCAGAAGGATTAACTGTTCAATATTATGACTGTTTTCTGATGCGGAAAAATTAATAGTGTGATACTATAATTGCTGTTGTGCTTGATCTGGGTCATCAGGTTGGACCTTAATTTCAAAATCCAGTGTCTTAATCTCGTTGGTGTCTTTTTGACATGCTGAATGATTCTGTGCTGTCATAAAGGTTTTATTGTTATTGTCACTATAGCCAAAATAGTACAAACATACTCACAAAAACATACTCCATATTTCCTGCCTCTGTTTCTAGCGGGTTTAGTGCAACCAGAGTTAGATTAATGTGGCATTACTTTGAAAGGGTTACCCTGAATTCCCAGGGGGCTATACCAAAGATGGAGATGGTTATATCATGAGCATCATCCCAAATATTCTTTGAAATATAATTTTAGTATAGAAATCACACATTAACTTTGCAATCATGTAATTACCTTCTAAAATACTTGTGCTTTTTAACTTTTATTTAGTTAATGCTGCTGTGGTTACTGTCAGAGACATTGTGACTGGCTTTGATGACAAGAGCTTGTTCTTTTCCCTTATTCCCCATTGCAATTCCCCTTTCCATCCCCATTGCTGCCACCAGGCAGTGATTGCAACAGAGGTTAAGAAGCTAGAGAAGTGGTGAGGAACAAGAAAAGAGGTCTGATCACCTTTGTTAATAGCTAATGCAATCCCTTCTCTTTATTAAGTGCTGTGTTCAGCCCTGAGGTGAGCAAAAATGAATTACGCGTATACTGTAAAAGGCCTAAGGATCCATTGAAATGAAAGCACACTATAATTATAGTATAAGGTGTTGTTATAATTAATATCTATTAATAATTTGGGCAAGAAGTAATTTCTGAAGAGCATTCAAGAATTAAAGGTCATCTGAGCCCAAATGTTTTTACAGAAGTAATTATTTATAGATTAGCCTCTAGCATACCCCAGCTGGGTTCACTTCCTTAGTTTGTTCTGTGCCTTATCCCATTCAAATTTAGGTTTGCACCATATCTTGCAGGATGACCTCTCACTACCCCAATCCAAATGTTCTCAGCCTGTCCACCCATCAATGCTGCATGCATTTCATTCCACTCCCAAGAATCTGATACCTAACCTGCCTGTGCTGTGCTTATGATAAATTAAAGCTGACTTTTTTTGAATAATGTGTGAACCTAAAAATAATAGTGACCTGTCCAAAAAGCACTAATCCAGCACTGGAAAATGTAGACAGTCCCTTCAAGGGTCTCAGCAAATATCAGTGGAAGCCCATCCAGGTTGCTTTGGAAAAAGTCATTGCTTTCTAGATTAGAGTTCTGATTTGCCAAAGTCAGTCTTTTATGCAATTTCTGAGACATCACCTTAACTTATTTTCAAAATGAAACTGTGGAAACTTAGGCAAATACTGTTTGGAATTCGAGTGTCGCCTTTTGTCATCACAATTTTGTAGGCCTTGACTCTTAACCTAAGTTGTATTTAGAGAGCGCTTCATGTGAAGAAACTTTACACATTCATGCTCTCTCTCTTGGCCCACAGTGAGTCTCTCAGTATGTTACTTCCATGGTTACAAAGTTCTTTCTTTTTAATATTTCTTTTATCATACTCATGAGTTACACATCACCAACAACTTTTAAAATCACATGTGCAGAAATGTATGTATGTGCTGTTTGCTTTGGAGAAAATAGGATGTGTATTGGGGGAGGATAGCAGTGGAAAGCATAATCCAGCAGCACTGGCTTTGTGGAATGCACAGTTTCACCCAAAGTGTAGTACAGCCTTGTTCTCTGTGGCTCTGTCAGGGAGTAGTGTAATACAAGTCAGTACAGCAAATTAATTAATAACACACATAACCAAAACTTCCAGCTTGTGTTGGGAGGGTTCTTTTCAGTTAGGCAGGTGCTTGTTCGTTTTGTTAGATCAGAGCTGTTGCTTACGCTCCCAGACTATTGTTCTTGCTAATGTGTAGATATATAGCATATATACGGGCATGCACACGCATGCCCAAATTGTCAGAGTATGTTAGTGCTGTCATTGTCATGCTTATGAACAGGGGAATTAAGCCATTATCCATGTCATACTACTTGATGCACAAGTAAGGTTCTTTATGCTGTCTTGGCCCTGTGGATGAATAGAAAACTTTGCACCTTCTTTCCAAGGACAGGGGATTGATGTATGTCATTTCATATAAGGAAATCAATGAGCCTTTAAAGAGCTTGGCCCTGGGCATTGGCTGGGGCCTTTTGACGAGCAGTTGAAATGATTATCCAGCAAGGTGCAGAAACAAAGAATAAATCTGAGTCCTATCCCAAAGAAGATTAGGGCTTAATGTGCATTTAATTCTTACTTGTATGTATGGAGCCAAGTTGTGTGCTGGCATGAGTTGGCTCATCTCCTTTGGAGCTGTGCCAAGTTACACACACATACTGTTTGACTCAGTATTGCTCTACACTAAAGACAATGAAAGAGATGCCAAGCAGTACCACCACTAGTGCCTGAGACATGTTTTCTGTGCAGAAGAAACAAAAATAAACTCAAATCCGGCAACAGATTTTGAAGTTACCTTTTCGCTATTAGAACGCAGCTTGAGAAACAGACCTTTTTCCATGCTCCTTGTTGCTTGCATCAGCCTCATTTGAAATGCTGTGTAATACCCTTGATAAAATTGCCTAGAATATATTTACTTTGGCTCTGACTTCGTTGGTTGCACATGTGTATAAAAGACACTGAGAGAAGGGTGAGGTGTTAATGTTTGTTGCAGTTATTATAAATGGTTATCAAAATGAGGAGAAATAATTATGTAACAATTTAGTGAAGCAATGGTATATTTTCTAAACCAGCTACTTCCTGAATATTATACAAAAAACATGCACAGGTGTGTGCTAGTAACCTCCCTTTCTAACAAGCTTGGTATTGTAAATCTCTCTCCCTTCCCTTTTTTCCCCCTGTTATGGAAGAACTATTTTTAAAAGAAAAATTATAGAAAACTTTGTTGTATGATAAATATATTTCACAGAAAAGGGAGTAAACCTGTCATTTTAAACTTGCTACTGAAGCACATTAATCCTTCAAAGGCTATGCTGTAGCTAATTCTGTAAAACTGTGTTATTTTATTTCAAAGCATATCATCTGTAGTACTGGATCTGTTTGTCATTACACAAAATTAAATAATTATGTTTATTTCATTATTAAGCCAAGAACTAATCTCTATGTATTACCTTAATTATGTATCATATAGTTCTTATTCTTACAAAAGTTAATGAAATTCTATTTCAGTAAGTGGGTAGCTGTCCTAGGCATTACACTTTTCACAAAAAAATCTGAATAGTTTTTTCCAGAAGAGATGGAATTGTTAGACCTCTATGCTTCTCCTAAGTAAAATAAAAGGCATCTGGATGTTTCTCCTTTTTGACAAAAACGTTGCACAGGTGTATGAGAAGGTTTTCAAGCCTTAAGGTGAATAATAGAACAAAAATGTGCTGTGGGCCTATAAGTCCATTTTTATTTGAACATAGGAATGTGCCCTGCATCCTGCCTCCCAGTAAACAATCTTTTCCTTGTAAACAGACAGGAATTTACAGGCCTGGGCTGAAAGAAATGCATAAGCACACACCTACAGGTCAACTATGTGACAGAAATTTAGGAGAATAATGCATTTCAGGCCTATAACTAAAAACTACTGAAGAGGGCATTCCCTTCTTGTGGGCTCTCATTAGCGCTGTTGCTAGTCCTCACCCTCCCAAGGTCATACCAGTATGCCACAGAGTATTTGGCCTTTAAGGGACTTTTTCTGTCCAGGAACTCGTGAGTTTTTGTGGATGCTAACAGCAAAGCTCAATTCCCTGGAGCCCCTGCTCTGAGGAATGGGTGTAGGGGGATTTTTTTTTTTTTTTTTTTTTTTTTTTAGGACCTGAGTAGTCCTGAATTTATGTAGTAGTGTTTTTAGTGGGCTGAAATTGTTTTGACCTGCCCATAAAGCATCTGCCTTTTGTCTCCCCTGCTGTGGTGTGGGCACGATTTAAGTTACCATTTCCCAAGCAGTTATTTAGTTAGGGAGCTAGAAAAGAGCTACTTCTCTACACTTGAAATGCAGCCAGCAGCACAGTCCAACAACAAGTATGCAGTGGGAGGAAGGTGGAAGGCTAAAACATCTCCCCACCTCTGTGGCAGTAGTGGCCCGGCCTTCATCAGTTTTGTGCCAGAAGGTGTCTGATGTTACCCTTACCAGGCCTTGGCTCCAGGGAGCCTGTCCCACCCTCCCCAAGTGACCTGCATGGGGGTCCTTCAGCTCTATAAGGGCTACAGACTTGGGTGTTTTTATATCCTGGCCCAGGGAGAGACTGACTTATCACCTGCTCTTTTTTATTTCTGAGACACTCTTTTATTAATACCATATATTTTAAACCACTTTTTCAGAACCTCTGACCTTTATCTTGGTTAAATATTAGCCAAAATCCCTTGACCCTTCCAATAAAACTTGAAAAGCAAAACCAAATAACTAACCATTAATCAGCTTGTGACTTTATCGGGGGTTTTCTGTCACAGCAGTTCTAGGTCTTACATTGGTATCGGGTGCAGCAGTTTTGGGTCTTATACCAGTATCAGGTGAAAGCCTATCTTTGTTCATTCAGTGGACAGATAAGTGTGCTACTGACTAACTACATCCAAGTGAATTCTGTTCATATCAGCCTGTATAAGAAGGTGCTAGACAAGGCCTAGGATTTGTTTATTCTTTCTAATTCTACTACATTTTTCCCATACAGCATCAAGCAACTCAATTGCAGTCACATTTTCAGGTTTAGACTTGCAATTGCATGAGCAGTGTGTGGGAATGTCATGACTGCACAGAAATCAGGCCATATAGAAAAAAAAATTTTTGGTTCTTTTCATTGCAAGGGCACTTCAACATGCAATCAGAACAAGTGATACTACAAGGAGGGCAGGCAATTGCAAGGCAGAACCAAGCACCTTGGTTAGATGAAAATCTGGCCTCTAATCTGGTGCTTGAACCCACATCTGAAACTGGGATCACAGTAGTACGTTCCTAGCTCCTCCTTACCTACCTTTTTAGAGTGTTGTGAAAGTAGCAAGGGTTTTTTGGGGGTTCTCACAAATCAAGTTGTTGATGACAGAAGTGTGTCATGCAGGTATGAGCTCTTCAGGTTTCCACTTAAAATATAATTTCCTACTTGGACAACAGTTGTGAATCTATGTTAATCCAACTCTGGTGTTTTTCAGTCTACTCATTCAAATTAGTGCTTTGGAGTTCAGATATGTGTGCTGTGACGACACCTTAAAGAGAAAACACAGCTACCTGGAGGAGTTGTAGTTGACACTGAAAGAACTTTCAGGCAGCAGTAGAGCCTCACCTTTCAGTGCAAATATATTCTCTAGCAAAAAAGAAAGAAAGAAGGGGAAAAACAAGTGGAAAACTCTAAGCGCATGCCTGCAAGCAAGCAAGCAAGCAAATAAAATAGAGGGGAAAATGAAAGAGATAAAGGAACAGGTGAAAAATAGTGAAAAATCTCTTTGGTCACAAAAAAAACAAAGAGTTTGCAGTGGCTTAGTATAAGATTGTTCCTTAATTATATTTTTTTTTTCCAAAGGTGTAAGTGGCCCTTGAATTTAAGAAGGGAGGGCAGTGTTATAGCTATTACAGAGCAGGATGAAAGGCTCATGACCCACCAAGGTTTTGTCCTCCTTGAAGCCTCTGGCCACTATCAGAGACAAGATTATTGCACCAGATAGGCGGACTGCAGCCTAATCCAGTTTGGCATGTATTTCCCTGTGATACATATAGACGCTGCCACAGAGAGGAGACTGGTATATCCTGCTCCTAGCATGCTGTGTCTGCATTTGCCCTCTCTGATTTGAGAAAGCCATTTCTGACTTGCCAAGTGTGAAGAGGAAGCTTTCCTGAGCTAGTGCTCTTTACTTTCACAGAGATATATATTTATTGAGGAGCGGGGGGGGAGTCTTAGGCTGTTACTGTAGCTGCAGTAATCACCACTCCCACCACCCCATTCCAAATGAAGATATTTAAAGCTGTGATTTTGGGGAAATTACTCTAGAGACCCTTTTGCTGTTCAGAGCTGTGCCAGTAGTCAGGGACTTTGCAAAGACTGGTTTTCACTAGAACAAAAACCGCCTTCTACAGTCCTACAGCTACTGTTTAGATCAACAAAACCCTTGCAGTGGTTTCCCTTTGTTGCTTTAGGGATCTGCAAGGAGGGACAGCATTGGACCTAGCCACTTGAGTCACCCATGAAAGGACAGTGACCAGGAAAAGTACCAATAGGGGGAGAGCAAGAGAGGACGAGGCAGATGCTGCAGCAGATGTGCTGCAGCAAGAGAGAGGTGGTTGCGTGGGAGGTTGCAAAGGGACAGGTAGCCTGCATAAACTTGCATGAGAGTGCAAAATGGGAGAAACTGAAAACGAGAGTGGCAAACACAAGGCAAAGGAAAGAAGAATGTGATAAGGGTAGTAGCAGCCTGTTTATTTTAATTAAAAAGGATTCAGCTGACATCGCAGGAGATTTCCAGCCCACGCAGAGGAATGGTGATGACAACCCCAGCATTGCAATGTAAGGATGAGGGGTGGAGCCACCGTGTGTCCCAGCAAAGAGGCACTGAGTGTGCCTGGGAGAGGGCAGGGGCCTCTCCAGGAGCCAGGAGTCCCACCTGCGCGGGAGGCATCATGACACACGGCTGCCCACCCAGGTCCAGGCTCACTTTGGCCCACTGGCAGTTTGTGGTGTTGGTGTTTCTGTTGAAGTAACTCTGAAGGATCCCAAACAAGGATTATGCAAGTCCATGATAAATTCTAAAAAAACTAAGAGATCTGCTGTCTCCACTTAGGAAACTTTATCCTCCATATACAGACAATATGCCATCAGGAGAAGGTAAAAAGTGAGACAAGGACAGATTTGGTCGTGCTTTGACTAATCAATTAAGTGAAATGTTTAACACCATCTCCTGGGCTCATGAATGGTTGTTAGCCTTTACTGCTGAAAAGCCTGGGCTGGGGATGGTCAAACAAGGAAGGACAGTTAGTTTCCCCATAACTGGTTATTCAAGATGGACTCGTGCAACTCATCATCTCAGTGTCCCAGTGTTTCACAGTCTAACTATATTTAATGGGCAAATAATTTGATATCCAAAAGTCACCTGGGGTTGCACTGTTGTTTTTCCTGATGTTCAGTATATCCCACTTTCTGGAAAGTCTAAGCACAAGCACATAGAGAGCACTGCATCTTCACTTTGAATAACAGAAGCAGCCTCCTGGCGGGAAGATTAAAGGTAACAGATTTTCTCTTCCTCCCAATTTTCCCTTTCCAAATGAGGCACTACAAGCACAGAGTAAAAAGGTCAGCAAAATTCATTTGCACCTAAACAAATTATGTGTTGATTGTTACAGGCCTAAGAAAGGGTCACACAGATATGTTTTTTAGAATGAGACATCAAAACCAAAGTGAGATAGCCCTGATCCTGCAAACAGACATGTCCTTAGCCTGTACTCCAGCAGGACTATGTCATGTGTAAAGTTAGGCAAGCTCATCCCTCAGAGAGGTTCTTCCCTACCTGCAAACTCATGTTCCACACTAGTTTGGATAGAGGAACTATTCACATCCATGTATTTTTTAAACAGCTCTATTAGACAGGGTTGTATACGTTTCACTTCTCTCTATCGTCTCCTCTTTCCTTTCTTTTTTCTCATGTGGATGTATGTTAAAACAACTGAATCTTCAAGCCATGCTTTTAGCTCAGAGGGCTGGGCAAAATGACTTTCCTGAAGTCTAGAACCAATGTGACATGTAGACAGCATACTGAATTGAAAGACCCTGTGTGATTCAGAGGACGGTTTCAAAGGTCCCAAAAGGATTTAGACAACAATGACATCAGTAGAGAAATAATTCAGTGGAGAAAAGGGGGCACACAAATTTTACTTCATGTGACTGAGTGAGCTTTCTGTCATCCTCGGGAGTCCTTTAATGCTCAGAACTCAAAAGTTTTTCTGAATATTATCTACTCAAAACAAAAGAGAAGGTGAGCAGCTCTCTTCTATGAAATATGCATGTGCTGCAAATGCTCAGCTGGGTTATAAATTCTCCTTTTAAAGCACCGAAGAACTTTTATTTCCTTGATTGCCATCTAGTGGAAATTGTGCTGTCTGCATCGCATTATTCATAATAACATTTCTATCTTGGAGCTCATTATGCTGTGCAGATGATTGCAGCTTTGAAGTGAGGGGCAACTTCTCATGCATGTTTTGTGCTTTGTAAGTTATAGCAAGGTCTTGCTAGGTCAAGAGATTACACAGTGAGGTGCAGAGTGGCACGGGTGTTTCTGAGAAATTTGTCTTTTACCAACATCAGTAAATGGTGCTAGCAAGAGGTGAGGTATCAGGATAGAAAGGTTCAGCTCATAACCTGGCCATCTCTCAGGTCATAGGTTATTCACAATGGACAGTTACTGTGCAAATGGCCCAGTTCCAGTCAGGCAGAAACCAAACTATAGGTCAATATTAATATATCTGAGGTGTTTTTTCTTCACTTTGGACAATTGTATTTTACAGATTAGCCTTGTACTATTTTAAAAGGTTATAATAACTGCATTAAGATGTGTTGCTGAAACAGTGGGGTTATATTGTGAAAAAATGCCATTGATTTTCTCAACCCACAATTTGAGCTGACCTGCAGTGTTCCTTCAAGTTTTACAAGTCTCTGTAAGAGGTTCTTTGAAAACATTTTGAAATGTTGATCCACATTCCTGAAAAGTACCAGAATAATTCATTTTGGAGAGTGCTCATTCATGTGGAGACACCAGAATGCTGGTTAGATTTCAACTCTGCACTGAGAGTTACATTTGGTCTGACCTTTATTCCTGTGATGTTTTTTCTTGTTTCTTCCACGTTTTTCAAAACTTCAGTGGCTTTCCTTCAAGAATTTTATTAGATTACCCACACTCAGCCCTTGAGAAAGCAGCTAAGTTTCTAACACTGTTCCAGGCCTCCTTATATCAAAGTCCCACCAGTGCCAAGCATTTTGGCACCAAATTAGTGTATCCATGCCACGTGCTTGTATCCACTTCTCTCTCCCTCTCTCATCAGCAATCTTTCACTCACTCTCCTTCTTGAGAAGGACAAGATTTCTCTTGCTGCCATCCTGATGTGCTTCACGCAGCCTGATCCAAACCTTTGCTGAAGCAATGCATGTTATTCATGAGCCCACAGTGATGTTGGAAAGCTACCAAAAACTTGCTATTTGGAAGCCTTGAAGACATTATGATTATCAGCAACCCATACAGAGAACTGCTGGCAATTAGCCTCAGTATGTAAGCAAAGTGGTTCCCTTTTGCCTTTAAATAAAAACATATGCCAATAATTTCTAGAAGGTTCCCAGATAAGGTGCATAACTGGAAGCTTTTTGTAACTCTCCTTGTCACTAGATTGCATTCAGGCAAATTAAATCAATCCTTGGGTCTTGTCTACTAATAAAGGAAGTTTGTCTTCAGGACACATATTTTTTAATGTTGTCTTTTTCTGTATAAGAAAAATAAAGCCCACTAGAAAATCACAAGTTCATTAGAAAAATCTTTGTCAATGTTTTTCCTTCCTCCTTTTTCTCATTTTTAAATAAAGATATGCAGAGCCTTGAGAAGTTGCTGAGGGATGCAATAATATATGGGCAGCCTCGAAGCCGCAGAGCATGGAGAAAAATTCTCATCCTTGTGGAGGGCATTTACAGGTATGTTTGTGTTTTAGAAACATGAGTACTCTTTATCATTTCTCGTGACAGAATGATATATTGAGTGAAGCGAACATTGACTCTAGGTATCTGAGAGAAATCCTAATGAGAGTGGAGGTTACAATAACATTCTGTGATCTTATGAATATGTTGACTTCCATTACGTCAGTCTGACCCCTGGTGTAACTTGTTCCGGTTAGATCCTGTACGTTGTTCTGAATGTTGATTTAGGAAATCACAGTGGAGTGGGAGATGTACTGTGAGAGCAAGACAGATCATCAGCTGGTGTATGTTGTCACAGATGTGATAAAATTCATGGAGCTATAGTAGGTGAGAAGTTTTGCTAAGTGAATAAGCTGAGTTTTCTGGAGTCATTTGTTATGCATGGGCAGATCAAAAGATAACTACACAGAACTAATTAAGTTCTGCATGCCCAGTTCTTACCCAGCTGTCAGAATCTAAAAACTCAAGCTAAACATAGGCCAACTGATATCAGTACCTTTCTAGCAATTAGTGCTTTATCTATTGGACTCACACTTTAACAGGAAAAACAATTTTAAAAATGGCTTTCAAAGAATTATACAATGATATTTCATGTAGTCCCAGTCCCTGGAGGAATTTGAATGAGAGAAGTGCCTTTGAGAATCCATCAGATAATATCAGCATCAATAATACCATGTAATTATAGAGCATCCTAGTCCGATAGCTCCAGTTCACTAGTGTGGTGCACCTTACACCCAACCAGAAAGACGAACCATCACTAAAGTTGAGCAGCAAAGCAGAGGCACCAGCCAGGCTCACCATCCTGGGCTTCATCCTGGCAACTACTCGAGTCAGGAGAAGGTTGCTGGGGAGGCAGCCATGGGGCTGGTGGAGGGCATGGAGGGGGAGCCACTGGTGGGCAAAGAGCTGGAGCAGGGAGAGGCAGAGATCATGAATAAGAGGGAAGGGCTGAAGAAGCAAGGATCTGGACAGTAAGAGGGTTTGCAGGGATCTAGGCAAGGCTAATGTGGTGATGACAAGGCAGGGGGGAGTGGGAGAAGGATAGTTTGGGGAGCAGCGACACCTACACCAGAGAGAAGGGAACCAGAACCACTCATTCACAGGACATGACATGGTTTATGAAAGCAACATTAAACTTTATATGTAGGGATCATATCATGTGTAGCTGAAATACAGCCAGTCTGGATGGGCTGTCGTTTATGTCATTTTATTGAGAAATGCTAGCATAGTTGAGCTGATTGGCTTTTTTCATAAGGGATCTTTTACAATCTCATGTCATCAGACCTTCATAGTTGTCAGTGCTTTCTTTTTACCTAACATCTTCCATCTGCAAAGAGAACAAATCAGTCCTTATCTAAACACCTGTCACTCAGAGCTGAAACAGGTCAGCAGCAGATCAGCTGATCCAAAGCATGCTGAACGTCTCCTTTCAACCAGAATAAACAGATCAAAACTGCAAATAAACATAGCTTGGCACTACTAAAAGAAAGCTCAGATTTAAGGACTTTGATCATGCAGAAATTAAGCGGACCACCAACATTTTACTGACAAATATTCCCATCGGTCACATGGCCTGCAGAAAATGCTCCAGCTGCTGAGCTTTGTTCACTTTTAAATCCTTTAGCCTGGATATTGACCACTAGGGAGCAAGAAGGTAGACTGGTGACACAGAAGCACAGATCGGTCCAAGCAGTGGGACAAACCCACTGTCAGATATTTGTAACTATAATAACTGTAACTATGTTTCCAGATGTATATTTGATATAGAGTTTTCCTCTAGTTTTGCAGTTCATTTTCAAAGGAGATTTCGTTCTTAAATGTTTGAAGAACCTTCTGCTGGAATGCAAAATAAAAACATGTTAAACCTCAGAGAACCTCACTAAAAAGGAACCATAAAGTTCCTTCTGTCCCATAAGGGCTAAATAATGTTAAGACCACTCATGTCCTGAGTGTCCATGCTTGTGAAAGGCATAAAGTAAAAGAAAAACAAAGCTCAGGTCTCTAATAGTGTCTTATTGGAAACTAGCCCTAGCAGTAGCTAGGTTGGTTGGTTAGTTGTTTTTATAGTCTAAGCAGATCAGAAATTGAAGATTGTGGTTTGGTTGCAAAGCAAGTCAGCTCTGACTTGAGGGAGAATACCACCACACCCCACCGTGTTGTATCCCTGCCATCACCACCAACCCGAGACGCACGCATCTCATCTGTCCTTGCAGCACTGCTGGGAACAGACTCACAGGCCATGTAGTCTAATCCAGTAAGTACCTAATAACATTTCATATGCAAAAGAAAAGCTGGAGAAAGACGTATCAGAAATACTTTCACTTTTTTTGTGTGCAGGTTCTCTCCTTTCTTGGCCCATCATTTTCGAAAGAGACTAAAATTTTCCAACCCCATATTGGCTAATGTTAGAATGTTAGTTTTCTTGAAAATTTGACAGATGCCAAATTCATCTAGAGCATTTAAGAGGAGGTAGAGTGTTGTTAATGTATTCTTCTTACAATAGTTAATTTTACCTTTTTTTTCTTTTTTCCCCTTAAAGGACTTAGGTTATGCTTCAGGGACAACTAATAGAGAATTTGAATAACTTGGTCAGAGCCATTCTTAAAATATCTTGACTTGCAAGTTTGGCTTGGCAAATTTTTACAGAAATGCTTTTTCCAGAGATGCAAAAGAAACACTAAGCTTTCCTTCTTTAAAAAAAATATTGTTATATGGCACACCATAGTCTTAGTATGGAGAAGCCGATGGTACGGAAAAAAAATTGCCTTCTGTTTCTATTAGGAGTATGTTTAAGTGTTTACACTGAGCATAAGCCCGGAATTACCAGCTGGCAAAATTTGAAAAGGGTCATTGTTAGCCAACACGAGCATTTCTGGAAATCAGTCTTGTGTTTGAAACCATAAGCCACAGATTTTGCTTCGTTACAACTGAAGGCAGAATTGGCCTCTCAACTTGGGAAGCACTCAAGCTACATATCAAAAAATAGCAATAAGTATATGTTTGTTTGCTTCTTAATGTCTCTATTATTTTAAAGAGAAACAAAAATCATCAGAAGTAAATGTAACTACTAGTTAAAGCTGGTTCTTAACTTGGACTAGCCTAGGAGCAAATATATTCCATTTGTGTTTCAAACTGAGAGAGACCATCTAGCCATCAATCCTCAGTACAAAAAGCATGCATAAGTTTTGGCAGTGTCCAGGGCACAAGTTAAACTGACTTGCTACATCATATTTCTATTATTTAAATTCCAGCTAATGTTTTCCTTGGCATCCACCATTTCCAGTTCAGGATTAATCAGTTACTGTATTCTTACATGGTTTGTGGTAGGCTTCTGCTCTCTTGCACACATATTTACCTAGGAGTCAGGTAGACCAAGGCCCAGGGCAGGAGTTATGGGGCACCAGAAACTGATCAAAACAGATTGTTTTTCACTTGGTTTTTCCCTGATTTTAATTGAATTTGGGTATTTTCCCTTCCAGCTAAGAAAACAGCTCCCTGATCAGTTAGGTATTGTCCAGTGCCTTTTCATGTACATTAGAAGTTTGTTGGGATTCAATGCCAATACCATAGGAAATTTATCAGGGTTATTTTTTATTTCCTGGGATTAAGTGACTAGACTTCCAGAAAAGAATGGGGTAACATTTAATGTCTTTGGCCAGGGACCAGCATTAAATGTTAACATTTCTATCGTTTCAGTGTATGGGATTGTATTTGAGGGCAGGGTTTGAAGGTTGCCTTAAAACTATTGCTTTAAACTACAAAACAGATTATTGTATGAATGTGCAAGCTTTATGTAAGAAAACAATACCTAAAGTAAACATTAAAATGGAATGCATATGCTTAGGAGTAACAGGTCAGGAAAGGAGGGATTTTCCCAATTACAAACTAGCCTGAAAGGGGAACAGATAAAGTTTTCAAATGTTGAAAGGATGGTGGAACTAGAGGGCATGTTTAGAGATGTTGAGTGATGCAATTATGAAGAAGATAATAGGTTGAATATCAGTAAATTAATTTTCCCTACAGAAAAAAAAAAAAGAAACTGGTACCATAGTAGGATGTAGAAAACTCTTTTCCTGAGAAGTTTCAAAATAAACTGGACAAAAACTGTCAATATGCTGTCAAGAGCGAGCCCGTGTACCAAGCAAAGTGACCAGCACAAGCCTACTCCTCCTGTCTCTCAAAGCACTTGGCTCCACAATTCATCAGCTGCATCAGGAAGAATCTCAGTGGTTTGGTAGGGATCAAATCAAGCTTCAAAATTCAGTGATCCCAAAATTTGGGATTATCTCCTCACATCTGGAAGTAGATTCAACCTGACTGTGTACTGAAGCAAGATTTTGTGCCTGCCTGCTGAACAAGGGAGATCCCTGCCACCAAACTCATAATTTTTGCTAAAAGACAGGATGTAATACCACGTAATGAGAATATCTGGCCTGGGCAGAGCCAGCTTACGTTTGTCTGCACCCAGCTTTTTCGATGTGCCCTGTGTGCTTGAGCAGATCTGGCAACAGATCAATAGCTTTGTAAAAGTGACACAACCAGACTGAGATAAAATGATTACAGTTCACTTCTGGCTTCCTGGTTTAAACTCAGTCGACATCAATATTTACAGAAGGATTCGGTAAACTTTCCATTTGGGCTACCCAAGGTGTTATGTGAAGTGAGCTTTATCTTGGAGCAACTCTAAACAGAGCGGTATTCATATCACTAACCATCTTCCAGGGTCAAAAGAGAGACCAAGAACAGAGTAGGCAGCAAAACAGCTCTTGTCTCTGCCATCAGGAGGGCTGAGGCCTGTTTGAATGGCAGCAGAGAAAACGTACACAAAACCAGCAGCATTTTATCTACTACATGGACACTTCAAGGCCATGTTAGGATCTGTCACTATTGTAATATTTATGTCAGCCAGCATCTTTCAAGAGCAGTAAATCAACACTGAAAATGAATACAAGTGCCTTGTTTTGCTAAACAGCTTACGGTTCAAAGAGAAATCTACTCATGCAAGTAAGAAAAGTTTTTGTTAAATCCTCTTAATGGTTAAATCTTGCAACAGCCATGTACCAGCTCTGTATTCTGGGATTCAGCAACAACTTTGCTTCCATTCCACAAATATGCAGCAAATCATGCTCTGTATTTTTAATTTACCATTTTTACTCTTGTCTTTTTGAAGCTAAATGCTGTCTCTCCCATCTGAATCTCCATGAACCACTAAGCCTAATGATGTCTGTGTAAATGTGGAAAAACTCTTATTACCCTTCTCTGCCTAGCTGGTCTGCCCAAGTATTGCTGGAAGGTGGAGGATGGGATGCCTATTTGTTTCCCTCTGCAGAAGTGCTCCTTGGCACCACTCTCACTCTCTGACCATATAGCCAACCTACAGGCTGACTAGACGCAGCCAAAAGCTGCCATCCCAGCACGTACGATGCTGCATGCCCAAGCACACCCAGCGGTTCGGTATAATTTTTAGCTGGCTAATGCATTGACTCTGGGCTGTGTGAGAACTGTGGGCTCTGCCCTTGTATTCATTAGGAAAATAACTGTGGTGGTTCAAGTTGCTTTTCCCCCCGATGCCAACTGCCATTTGGGAAAAGTGAGAAAGCCCAGTCCTCAGGAGCTTGCAATACAAGCCAACCCATCTTTGCTGCAGTCTTCTATGGCTGGGCAAGACAGAAGGGCAAGATTTGCCAGCAGTCACCTGACAGCCAAAAATATCCCTCCAGGCACACACCGCCAGGCTCTCTGAACCTCCCAGTATGAACAGCACAGGCAACCCTTGTCCACGGCTGCACCCCCGTGCTGTTCTTTCAAACGAATGGAGACTTGCCTATGGGCAGATCTCCTTCAAAACTTGGAGACCAAGCTGTTTCCAAGCTTACTCAGGAGACCAAAGGATGAAGAGGGACTAAAATTGTCAGAAATTTCCCAAGTGCTAAAAGCACATCCTACTCCTTTTGTGGTACCAAACTTCCAGCTGCATAGTGCAGCTGGAGTGGCAATAAAACAATCTGTGAAAACTACTGGTCCAGGATCTAAAAATAGCCAAGAAACTGTGTTGATTGCACTGCTCTTTTGTACATGCTCTTTGGGAGCAGACTTGACATTTCTGCTTAGCTGAAACTCTTGTAGCATTTGCAGTCAGATACACCTTAGCTGTGGGCCTTAGCCATGGAGCAGTGGTTTTCCTGGCACACAGCACACTCACTTTGTGTTTGATAGGAAGCATTTAGCATTTAAAGACCTGTTCACTAGAGCTAGTGGAAGAGAACATGTTTAACTCATTATGAAATGAATACTGAGTGCATCAGAGCATATCCAAGCATAGCTGTAGTCATCTCACTAAGGTTCTCAAGACATAATAGTCTTCACAGCAATACTATTGATACTTAATCTTTATGGGATTAGAGTGCATTTCTTATTTACCTCCATGGGCTTTCATTTTGCTGTACACCTCCTCTGTGCATTCCGACTTACTGACGTGATTGCCAACAATACAAAAGATTTATCATCTTTTCTTATTTCTGCAAATCTCAATACACCATTAGCGCAAGTTCAGAATATCTCCTTTTCCTGCATGACTGTGAGAAAGTAAAAAGAAAATGAATGGAAACTTTCTTCTTTTTGAGTACTAGGTAGCAGATTACGTTTCCTAAATAGTAGATACTGGGAGCAAGAATTGGCAAGAGTTGATTTGAGCTCCCTTTTCTAATCCCCAATTCTGTCCACTCTGCAGACTGGGGATGCTTAGAGTTATGACACCATCTATGCATCTCATGTGGCCCATATCCTGTGTATGTTAGACCCAACTCCTCCACACCAGAGTCATTTTATCTAGAGCTGTTACCCCCAAATATTGCCACAGTAGCTGACGATGAAGTAAGCAAGGACCAGACTGAATTATAGCAGTTCCTTACAATATTTGTTAATAATAATTTGTGAATTGTAATGTGCTGCTTTGGTTGAGTATCTCCCCCTTGCTTTATAGCTTTCCTTTTCTTTTCTGGCATGCTGAATATTTGCAAATGTTCAAAGACTTTTTGACTAGTTTTGATTGTTTGAATTCTAAAACTGTTTGACTGTTTTATACTCCCCTGCAGATGGGAAAGGATTGCAATTTTTCTTTGAACTGTAAATACAAATTGAGGTTCCAGAAGGTCTTTCACGGAGTAAGGCAATTAATGCCTATATTTTCTGGCAGTATCTTAAAGAGAAGGAGAGTACAAGATTTGTTGTTCATCCATCATTCTCTCCATCTGCAGCATGGAAGGGTCCATTGTGCGCCTGCCAGAGATAGTCTCCTTGAAGAAGAAATACAAAGCCTACCTCTACTTGGATGAAGCTCACAGCATCGGTGCTGTAGGAGCAACAGGACGAGGAGTTGTGGAGTACTTCGGTATGAGTCCTGATGATGTTGATGTATTAATGGGAACGTTCACAAAGAGCTTTGGCGCAGCTGGAGGATACATAGCTGGCAAAAAGGTAAAAGAAAAACACAAACATTGTAACATCAAGGTGGGGGAAGTACCTTCTTATTATGTATGATATATTTCATTATCTTTTCGCATAGACTGCTTTACAGGAGCATTATTCTAAAGTTAGTACCATTTTTGTCTGGATCCCAAATGCACATCAAACAGTCAGACTTTCTTATTTTTGTCTAATGTTCATATTATGTAATTTGCTTGGGTTGGGTATTTCTGTGCCACCCTGATGACTGTTGTTTGTCTTGGAAATGTTTAGACACACTGTGGTTGGCTAAATATACTTCACTACATTAATTTGCATGCAGACTGCTCGTTACTTTGTTTCACATTTGTAAACAGTGTGTGGAGCAATATTGAGAGATTAAAGCCACAGTTTCATCCGCTGATAATAAAATTCCTGAACAGTTGTGGATTGTCATAGTTGCATTTTTTAGGAGAAAGGAGTAAGAAGGTTACTGAGGACCTTTTGCAATAGTAAAATCCATGTCCTCAGTTGCTGTGTGTACATTAACAAAACAACATCTTGGCAACAACAGATGTCAACAAAAAGTAGAGCTGAGTTTGTTTTAACCGGGGGTGTAGAAGAAGAGAAAGCATAATCGGCACCGTTGTGAAATGTCATTGGTTTTGGTGCTTGTCAGAAATATCAAGTGGTTGCTGATTACTTACCCTTTTCATACCCTGCTGAATGTATTTCTTAAGTAGTTTGCTGAATGCATAGGAAGCCTTTTTAGACAGCCCATATGGTTGTTGTCAGGGTAAAATTAATAAGGGTAGCACTTGAGTAGAATAAATGGGCTATAAGAAAGTATAAAGTGTATATTTCTTACTGTCTTTTTTAGTTTTGCCCCTGGAGATCTTAAAGCAGGCTATCATAATACATAAAGAACCACTTTTCTTTGTTTCCTTTGCTTCCTGAATTTGTATCTGAGGGCTTAACTCTTAGCAAAGACAATGTAGTTAATGTAGCTAGAAATTACACGAAGCCTAGGCCTGTGAAAAGCAGTCTAAAGTAATTCATCATCTAATCCTTGGAAGTTTTCTTAAATGAAAGTGGGTCGCCCTTTTCACACCTGTGCGTATCACTAAGTTTGGCCTCAGGCTTCCAGGCCTTGGTGGCAGCGGCTCGCCCAATACACTTAGCACACTTACATTCACTGCAGCCAAAAACTCACGGGGGCACTGTTTATTCTGTGTCAGCTAGAGCACAGAAGCCTTCTCAGCTATTTGATCAATAGGATTACAATTGCAATATAGCAGTGCATAACCTGTATAAGCTTAGGTAAATCTTTACCCTTAGCATTGGACTTACGGCATAGACTCATACAGCTTTTTTGGCAATAATTTGCGTTACTATCTTTTGGTTTTTTTCTGGCAATATTTTTTATCAAAGGCAGTTTTCAAGCAGGTCTCATCCCTTTCTCACTAACATGCATTCAGCTTTTAGTGTGGTAACTGTTACTCTGATATTTTGCACTGGGAGATATAAGCTGTCATAACAATGATGGTCTTAATCAAGCACTGAATTCCTACAGTGTCCCTGGATTCAGGAGTTACTGGTGCTTTAGACATGCCTACAGTATAGCAATGCTTTTTGTAGGAGCACAGATTGTGCTCTTAGTTACACAAGGAAATGTTAAAGCAACTATATTGACTCTAACATGACTGTCCCTGCCACACTGATGGGAAGTTGCAACTGAAAGAAATTTATATGCTAATAGCCAAAGATAGATCCCAGTAAGGTTGCTTTTCCTGGGTTACATCTTGTGGCAGAGAAGCTGTAATGATGTCATGTAGGCTTTGCTTCATCCCCAGAGAGGAACTGAGTAGTATTTTAAGTGCAGCTGTTCATTGGTCTTTAAATGATTTTGGCTCCTTTATAGTAAGTCTTAGCACAGAAGTAAACATTGTTCTATTCCAGACCTTTGTTTCAGCTGTAATTGCTCTACTTATATGGTAAAGTATCTGCACCTGCCTGATGTTTCTTCAGGCCATGCATTAAAAGTAGCAGCCAAGAAAGCAAACCAATATCTGGTGAAACATCCTCTTCTCTTTTTTATGTTCTCACTCCTGCGGTAGTTAAGAGGTAGATCTGCTGTTTGGCCAGCTCAAAGCTCATTCATGCTTTATTTTGCTTGTGTAAGGACCTTGTGGACTTTTTACGAACTCATTCTCACAGTGCTGTGTACGCTACATCTATGTGTCCACCCGTAGCAGAGCAAATCATCAGGGCGATGAAATGTCTCATGGGATTAGACGGGACAACACAAGGTAAGCCGCCTTCTTTAACTGCACTTATTTCAATTACTACCAGAGCATCTACTGCATACAGGCATACACAAAATGTCATCCAGCAGCAAAGTAGTATGGTAATGCAATGCAAAGGAAATAATTCTTACTATAAAATTAATATCCAAATTATCATACTTGTAAGTATTATCAATTCTATTTCTTTTTCCACACTCATCCACTTGCAGCAGGGATGGAAACATTCTGGAATTCTCGCTCTGTAGTTGCCACCACTCTGCTTTGCAGCAACAAATAGAAGTACACAAATTGCCCTTTGTGTGGATTGTCTGGCTTTGTAGGAGGGGTTCATAAGGATAAACCTTCATTAATGGCCTAGATGCTGTCAGTTTAGCTTCTTTGCAAGTGTGAACCTTCAAATGGCAAGCAACTCAAGCATGGTGCAGAATTTCAAAACAGATATTGTATGTTAAATGATAGTATGAGAAGATGATTATAATAATTCCTACCTCACCCAGGCATTAATTATGGTGTCCTAAAGCTAATTTTGAAGTACATTTTGTCCCAAAAGAATTGACTACTTGGTGTCTTTATGAAAAATTACATTTATTTATATTCCTTTCCTGAAGTTGCAGATGCAGCTACTGTCCAGTCCTCTGCGTAACATGCTTTCTATGCAGCAAGCAGCAAAATAGCTGTGACATATCTATCTGCTACTGCATCAAAGTGATACTGAGATGTATTCAATGTTCTAGGGCTTGAATCCTAACTCGGAGTGGTGGGGGTTGAATTTGTACAGGTTTTGTCAGGAATGCCTGAGAATCATGTCATTGTGTAACATGCAGTTGAAGATACAGGTTCTGCTCTGAATCGCAATCTCTTTTACACCGGTCCGGCAGCCCTGTGCTGTGCTATTTTCCCTTACCTTGTGTAGGACTAACAGAATAATTATGTATTAGCCCTCCCTGAGAGATATGACCGGGGTAAGGTGGGAACAGAAAGGAAAAAGGGTATATGAGAGCAAGTGAGGTACTGCTCTGCACTATTCAGTTGCAGTGCCCTAGAGGGAAGTTTCAAACCATGATAGACACGAAGCTATTAAGACGTTTATCACAGCCCTTCAGCAAAGCCAGAATTTACAAGAGCCTAGTGTACCAAAGGAGGGACAGAGAATCCAGTCCCAGCACTGAATTCTGCCGAGTGCAATGACAAAGTGCAGCAAAACTCCAGCGCGATGTGCGGACGATGAGGAAACAATGCTTTTGTCATTTTGGCAGAGAAGTCAGAGCGCAACAACCGTTTCTGACTTGCGGTTTGAAAGGTCGAGGTTGCGTGTGCTGGTGCCTACATCCGGTCCAACGTAAGAGACCAGCTCTGACGTGGTGGTTGGGCCTTGGGGACGAGGGTGCAGGCCATCCCCTGCTGCTCCCCGCGCTAAGCTGTAGGGAAAGCTTGCCGTCAGAGGGCGGCCTTACACTGGGCCTGCCCTGCAGTTACAGGCTGCAGCCTCTCACAGCGGCCGCGAGTGAAATATTAAACACGCAGAGCATTTCCAAACATTCAAAGCCTCTTAAAAATGGTCTTCAGCTAGCCTGATTCTGCATGCAGTTCAGGGCAGGCTAATAGGAGAACTTGGTTCAAGACGAGACTGTCTTAGGGCTAAGAGTTTGCAGCCTTTCTCTTCCAGAAGCAGTGCTGTTTAATGACACGATGTTTGTATTTCTGCACAAAGTAAGTGCTTATTAAGTCTTCTGCAAATCCTTTATGAAATAAATCGGTGTTCTGTCAGGTTTTTTTAAAATTTGTCTTGTAATATGAAATGCAAATTAATATAAAGACAAATAAATAAATAGTATATCACAACTTAAGAGTATTGCACAAAGGCTAGCAAACTGGCTATGATGCATTAAAAATGTTTCTTGTCCTTCTGAGCCAGACTCATTATTTTAGTCTATTTGTTTTTCTTTCATGTGGGTCTCCCTTCATTAGGCTGTCTTGTGGACTACAAAAAAAAAAAAACACAACTCAAAACACAGGAAAAAATGTTATGCTGGACCACACTACAATGCTGCTTTGGCATCAGAAAGAGGAAGGTGGTGGCTTAGAAAGGAGGGGGGAACAGAAAGAAGAAAGCACTGTGTCTTCTTAGATATTTTTGTGTCCAAGGACAACAGCAGCCTTGGCTGCATTCTTTTGGTCCACTGTCATAGAAAATGGTGAATCCTGCATGTGAGCCGTCCTTGTGAGAGCATGAGCCATGTAGCAGAGACACCTGGCAGAAAAGTTTCAAGTGAACCGGAGTTGCCACAGGGTGGTATGCACCCTTTGCTCTCTGGAAGCCTGTTGAATTGATAAAAGGAGTTTATTTTGCAATTTATTTCAAACAGCATTCTCTTCCCACAGGATGATTTGGGGAATCCTTTATAGGAGATGTCCACTGATGGGCTTGTCCTCCGGAGGGCATTTCTGTAGGGGAGAGTACCTTGCAAAAAATACTGGGAATGTTTTGGAAAAGAATGAAATTAGAGTTTGCTAAAAAGATCCTTGTTAACTAGAAGGTGCTTTTTGAAAAGAGTATTCAAAATAACGGGGTGACAAATGTGTTAACCCAGCATGTTCTTACATCTGAACTTCATGACTGACTCCTCAGTAGACTAATAGAAAACTAAGAGAAGGAAGACTGATTTGGTCATTGAAATTGCTGCTCTGAAAACTCTTTATTCTATTTTTTTTAGCACTTCACACAGTCTTCTTTTATATTTTTCCAGATATGATGCTTTTACATTCCCTCCAATTTCTTGCTAGTTATTCTCCACTAATTTGTTAAGCAGGTGATCTAGAAAAGAGAAGCATAGGTGGAATTATATAGTGAGTAATGCCAGAGGCCAGAAATGCAGCGATACTGCTTGTGTTTATCCTGGTGTGTATCCAAATGATTGATCTCCCATATTTTCTTCCTTCATTTTCAGTTAGTAAGAATATAGTTGTTTAGAAAAGGAATCAGGGTATACATTTCCAAGACAGGATCAGTATACTGGATAAATAACTGCAGGATATGAATAGATGTTTATGGACATAGGGGCTGTGGCTTCATTACAAGGAAGGAACAGGTTAGCACTTTAAAAATAATTTTATGAAACCTAAACTGTTTGGCTGGAAATATCCATGGCAAGTGTCAGTTTCAGGCTACAATTTTTTCATATCGACACACAGGTTCAGTCCTTCCTCAGAAGAAGGCTAGATATACATATGGGGGGTTGATAATCGGGGGGGGGGGGGGGGGGGGGGGGGGGGGGAGACCAACTTTAAAAATCCTTTTCCCCCTGAAGATCTTCAGTTTCTCTAGGCTTTGGGATGAAGATTTTGATTGTGATACTCAAGTTTATAATTTTTGCCATGTCTGTGAAATACCATCTGAGCCTTGTGATGTTACAAGTCTCTAAAAAAATCTGTACTTGAAATTAACATTGACAAATCTCAAGATCCACTGAGTGAAGGAGCATCTTCCAGCTCAGTTTGTGGGGCCTGAACAGAGCATCCCCCACCTGGAGCCTGGGCAGAGGACTGGGGCTCTGAGCACCTGCATCCATCCTGCACTGTCAGACACTTAGGGAGGTAAGCCAGGAAGGTTTAACAGAGAAGAGACTCTGACAAGCAAAGGAGACACAACAGGGAATAGATAACAAGCGGGTGATAAGGATGGAGACTAGGACCAAAATAAGAGGCTGAGAAGATGGGGTGGAGACGCTGTGAACAAAAAGGGCCTTTTGTGGGGAAGGAGATGAAGAGGGAGAAATGTGTCTGCAAGAAACTGCAGCAAACACATGACTCTCCAGAACCAGTTCTGGTACCTCAGACATTCCTTGTTCTTCTCTGGTCAGCAAACTGCTGTGGAAGTGTACTAGCAAGATGTCTGCTTACCTTCCTTTGTAGCAGGAGACTCCAATTTGGATGGGAAGTTCTCATTTTAAAAGCCTTGCGCTGACGTAAGTAAAAAGATACAGAGAAGACATGGTATCTCGCACAGAAACCATCTATCAAGGTATGGGTATGTCCCAGATCAATATTTGTGATAGTTGTGAGACATTAATGTCATGAGAATGTAACTGGGAGGATACTGCAGAGCCCCTGAGGATACTGCAGAGCCCCTGAGGATACTGCAGAGCCCACAGCCAGCTATTACAGTTTCCTTCTTTTGCCATGTTTTCTGCTCTGACTTGAGAAAATGAAGCACAAAAAATGGTCAATTAGGAGAAGATAGTAGTTCCCTCAAAAATTATATGCACAGGAGAGAGGGGTAGATTGGGGTCACTATGACCAAGTCCTTTGTTTCTTGAGTGACTTGCATCAGAAGAGTCAGAGAATGACAACAAAAATTGCAAATGTATTTCCAGTTTTATGTAAAATCATGTTTTTAGTAGAGCACAAGTCCTGGTGTTTTTCAATGCCGTGTTTCACAGGACTCTCTGAAAATAACAGCTTGTAGAACAAGACACATTTATTCTTCGTAACATAATGTCATAGGTACTATCATAGTTCCTATAATAAAGTTGTTCAAAAGCATATGAACTTCTGGCAGCTCTATTTCCTTTACTAATGTCATAAAGCAGCAAGTTCCACAGTTCAGTTCATATAGTCTATTAAAAAAAAAAAATCATTTTATCTCTCTTAAGCCTTTGTGGCCTTTTCATCTCAAATGTGTCTCTCCTCATTTATTAGGAGATATGGGAAGCAGAAGTTCCCATGCCATTTACTCTTTATAATTCATAATATAGATATTCCTTATATGTTCTCGTGGCTTCTCATTATCCCACTGGAGATACCTCAGGAAACTCGGCAGCTGCCTTACCGGTTTTATCCCCATGATGAGACTGTAGTTGACTCAGAGTGTTTGGACCCTGCACAAATTTTCAAGTACACTTACTTCCATGCAACACAGCCCCTCCAGCTGTGACCCTGGACCTTTTTTTTTTCTCTTTCTGCCTGAGAATACCAAAAGCATATTTTTACCCTTAAATTTGATA